GGTAGGGTTTGGGGGGGGGAGCTTGGCACTGGCCAAAGCGGCTGTGACCTTCATCCGCAGTTCTTCCGCCTCTGTCTCGGTGCCACCAGCAAATGTTAGACTGTGCCATGCTAAATTGTTTTATTTATCTTTTATTCATAAAGGTTTTTTACAGTTTAGTTTTTTGATTGTGAACTTTTTTAAATTTTAAAATAATAAGGCGAGTGAAAATTGTGGCAAATGGAAGATTGTTCATTTTTCATTTTCGTAATTCATTAAGGTTAAATAAATTATCATTTAAGTTCTGGAAATATGTCTCATTTGTTATTATATCAGTGTATTTTATCACATCCAAAAAAGGAGGTAAATGATGGTGGTATTATATATTGGCCGCTGGCCTGTCTGCTCTCTATTGTGTCAGCATTGGCATGGGCAATTGACCACTCGTCTTGAGTGACCTTCTTTGTTTGCTTGAATGATATTGACTTTAAACGTGCGTCAACCTGGACCTCAAGGATCTTCAGAAGCCACTGTTTGTTTCCTGAGCCTAGCTACTGAATGTCCATCCATCTGTGAATGCTGTCACTAGCTGTCTTTGGAGTAACTGTGAAACTAGCTGTGTGTTTTTCATTTACTGGTTAAAACAACCTTCCCCCAGCACAGATTTTTTTTCTTTTACCATTCTTTTCACTCTCCTTTCTTTACACCACTTCCCTCCATTTTTTTAAACATATTACCAAATGCTGTTTATAGTTGAAATAGCAACAGAAAACCATTTTACACACAAGTCACATGTAAAACATTCTTATATTTTTCTGTAAATGTCCTGTATCCATGTTCTCTGTTTTGCCTTGTTACCATGCAGTTTGATATTGCAATAAAAACAACAACAACAGCAGTGAAACTGAAACAGCAAGGTGACTGTGTGTTTGGTTAACCCCTTTGTCTTCCTCACAGAGAGCTTTCCCTTATATATCAGTGATGCTGGGGAATGGGACTCTATCATATGACCACGATAATGATGGCCGGTTCACCGAACTCGGGGGGTGCACAGCCATTGTGCGTAACGCGCTCTACAACACGTTTCTCCTTGTCAGATACTCCAGAAACAGACTCACGGTATGAAAGTCTCTAATAAAAGTGTGAATGATACAGTAAATGCATGTTTTTGCTTTCTATTTATCTTTACATGTTGCTGAGAGGCCCATAAGATGTTGAAATGTTTTTCATGAAGAAAAAGTCTTGATATCAGGAGTTATAATCCAGGATTCTGATAACTGGCATTAAATGTTGAAAAACTCTTTAGGTTAAAGGATTCCCATTGACAGTTCTGAAATAATACCTACAGTAATATCAAAATGACAAAAGTTTATAAAGACAGCTCCTAGCATTTGTTTATGTTGGATCAGTGACTCGTGCCATCTGTCACTCTGCCCTGCAGGTCATGGTGGATGTAGACGGCAGGCAGGAATGGAGCGAATGTGCTGACATCACAGGACTCCGGCTACCTACAGGCTACTACTTTGGTGCCTCTGCTGCCACTGGGGACCTGTCAGGTATGAAATTGCAAGAATCATCTAAAGGCTACTTGACCACTGGGAACCTCTGTTTAAGTTGAGATGAATGAAACTTCAGTTATATTTTTACAGAGACTGGGTTACGAGTACTATGATCAGAACAGTTCCTGTAAGTGTACTGATGCTGAAATTACAGAAGAAACACTGGAAGAGCACAGCTGGTTTGTGTGAATTGTTGCTTCATGTATCGATTACTGACTTGCACATGTTGCTCTAGATAACCATGACATCATCTCCATGAAGTTGTACCAGCTGACAGTAGAGCGGACTCCAGAGGATGACGAAGAGGAGGAAATCACCCTACCCAGAGTTGACGGCATGGAACAGTTTGCAGGTAGATGAAGAACTGAAGAAGAGTGTGTTGTCTTTTTGCATCTTACTATTTTTTTTTTCAGTGTGTATTTTCAACATCACAAGATTTGTCAAAAATATTTTTGCCAAATCTTGCGGTAGTACCCACCGCGACCTTTGAAAACCCCCTGGTTGCTGTTCTGGAGCTTTCACTCATATTTCACAGTCTTCCTCAGCAGATGGAGTGTGACCAGTAGCCACAAAATTATCAACATTCTGGTTTCCATTTCCCTCTGAGTTGTTTAAACAATTCTCATCCATTTTGGCTTAAAAGTTGAGATTGAAACATTGATTTAGTGAAGTAATGACTGTGGTTTGATGAAACAAGATACAAAGCTTCGAGATCAAATGAATGATATCGCAAGAAAAGTTTCTACTTAATATAGAATAATTTACTATCTAGTATTGATGAGAGGTTGTCATTTTAACAAATTTTTTAACAAAGCATCATTTCTCACTTTGAAGCTCAGGAAAATGTAGTTTACATTTCTAAATATTTCTCTGTATTATTAAATGTGTAACAGTCAAAGTTAGACTGGACAAAAACCTGAAGTATTTGCCTTTGGCAGTATCAAGTGTAAAAGTCTGAAAACTGTTTCATCAGGCCTGGGCTTTGATCAGATTTGATATACACTTGTGACACAACCAGTCCTCATCAGATTTTGACTCAAATGTTGCAAAATCTGAATGAAATAAAATTGATGGGTTTTTTTTTTTCTATGTGAGTTTGGTACAGTTTAAACCTGAAGTTTGTGTTCATTCATGATGTTATCGCTGAGGAGAAATATGAAATGAGAGAAGTAGCTCTCAAGAATCTTGGTCAGAAACTGGCTTAACCAGATTTTGTTTCTTGAAGCCATTTGAATGGAAAAAGAACTGAATTTGATTATTGATTTTGGCAGGAGAAAGAAATCCCTTTTCATGAAGTGTTTGTATAAACTTAGACTGAACACTGCTGGCAACCCTAATCTGTTTGACAGTGATCCCCTCTCCTGTTGCTTTGCAGTGGATGTTGAGGATCCTGGGATGAGTGGAGTCCAGTTCTTCTTCACGCTCCTCTTCTCTATCCTGGGCCTCAGCGTGCTGGCAGCAGTAGGACTGGTGGTTTATGGGCGCTGGAAGGAAAACAAACGTAAACGCTTCTATTGATCAGAGACTAGTTGGTCTACATCAGTTTTCAGAACGTGTGTTTCTTAATCAACAATGCAACGACTGCCATAGCTTTACTGCAACTATACAATTGAGTGAACTGAGTGAACAGCCACTTGGGTCTCAGGCCCAGAGTCAACAGAACAAACCGACTAAATGAACAGGTGAGCCAGCTGTGGAATATTTCTTTTTCTTTTAGTGTTATGAGTGATAGATGAAATAAAGCTCCTCTTAGTGTTATGAATGATAGATGAAATAAAGCTCCTCTAGTTGAATTGTGTTAAAATATGCTCATCTCAACTTAATGCACACTGGGTTTGCAGCATGGCTCTGCACTGACAATGTAGATTTCAGACAAACACTTCAGAATCAACTGCAAAATCAGATGCTGTATCTAGTTTAACGGCATCATGTAAAAGACTTTATGGTACTGAGGTTTGATTACCCACTTAAGACTTTCAAAAGATCGATCGACCTGTGGATGGCTGCCGACGTCTTGCTGCACTGAACAAGTCAAATTATACTGAGCCCCCATGCATTTGACAGCACCTTTAGTGCCAATCAAAGCACTTACCTCAACTTGTGTGCAAAGGGATGTACATCAACTGTTTGTAAATGTACAATTGATGATACAACACGATATGCTGTGCTACCAGTGTTAAGTGCCTAGTTAGAACCAATGAAAATGAGCTCTTGCTTTGTTTGAACCCTTTCTGCAGGTTTGATTTCCTCTTCTGTTTGATATCACCAAGGACTGAGCATCAATCACTTTCTGAAGTTACTAAGAGTCATGATGAGTAGGTGTAAATGTTTTATCAAAAATCTCTTAAGCACAAAATAGCATTTTAGCACCAGGTTTCATGTTAAGGAACTTTTCCGTGGCACTGAATTTCTTCTGACCATTATGTTGCTTTAGACTTTTGCGTGCACTGTGAATTTAATGGCCATGTTCAGATCATGTGGTCAAATGTGAGTGTGAGTAAACTGAAGAGTATGAGTGCTTCTTACTGTTTAGTTGTGTGATGTGTAGTAGGCCATAGCTGTGAACAGGCTGCCAGCACACAAGTTGGTGCCTTACCCTGAGTGTCCACTGGATGCCGCTGTGTCATATTGCAGTTCCTTCACAGCTACTAGAGATGATCTGCTGACTTTCCAGTTGTGTCAGTCGAGGAGTTTACATACGATGAAGTGAGTGAGTTATAATCTGGTAAGCTGGACTGTAATGAAAACAAATCAGCATAAAGGATTAGGAACCTGGATTCTCCAGGTGGATTTCTGAGGAATACTGATCTTTGTGTCATGTATATGGGTAACTGGGTATGAATCTGCCCGATAAAAGGCAAAGTAACAGTGGATCAGCCAATGAGAGCAATGTGTCCATATATACAAAATGAATCCATCCAAAGTCAGAATGAAACTCAAACTTCTACATATTAACCTCTACAAGTATAAGTCAGTGCCATCGTTGAACATTGGACTATCTAATACAGACACTTTAGTATTTATGTGGAAAATCTCGGCTTGGTCTGTCTGTCCGTCCTCCTCTCACTACTATAGTGTGCGCTGATGCAGAGACACCAAAAATAAAAGGTTGCAGCATCATGGCTCACTACTACAGTAACAATCAGTACACCATGCCTCTAAAATAAGGCTGGGGTAGGAGAGAAAACAGATTACTGACCTGCTGCATCAGGTGTGTCAAAACAGCTCTGTTCTTCCTTTGTGCACCCAGTCTATTTTAGCTGAAGGAACTAATGAAACTCTGTTAAAAATATGTGAAAGACTTTATTTAATGTGTATTGACATGATTTCATGTCTAAACATGTACTGTGTACTGTCTATAGTGCCGTCCCATTCTCTTGATCCTAGTACCCCCATCCACCCACCGACAGATATTAGTGAGTGCAACTAGAGGATTGGGCTTCAAATTTATGTCTGTACCTGACCCAAGCCCGAAACTGTTTACTTTGTATAGTGTTTTCCCCCTTATCATTAAACATTTGAATGTTCCAGACATTTAGCCTAAAGTTTGACCCATGTGTCAGAATCAGACCCAGACCCTACAAATAATTTCTAAATTCCTCTCCCGACCCAACCCATGCCCTCTAGTACTATCAGGTCCAATTCAGGTGTCCACACTTTAGGTGAAACGTGAGCTGTTAACAGCTGGTGTAGACATATGTAAGTACAGTCCTAAGATTTTTGTGGACTGTCAGACATTCAAATGTCTGAAAATGACTTAAATGTGTTGGTGTAGACAGGGAGAGTTAGAATAATGGAGAAATGGTATGACAGCTGTGAAGGGATGGGGGCATATAGTGTGTGTGTGTGTGTGTGTTGGGTTTCAAATGCTTCTTAAACATGAGGGTGTACTGAAGCTACAGCAAGGTGTTTGGTTATACATTTATGATGCATTTCATTTGTAACTTTGTCTATATGTACAGATGCAGTCATGTTAAATTGTTGACTGAACCACAGTGGAATCATACCTGAGCTGTGACAGTTCTGTGCACGGCCCTTGCTCTTGCCGTGTATCCCCCGTGATGACGCAGTGGTCACAGTCACCTTGTTAACGCCCCCTAAGCACTGTGTGTGCAACCCACCCGCAGTGTGTGTTGTACATTACTGTATAGTGGAAGCACAGTGGGCAGTGTTGTCACATCAGCAGCTCAAGTTCATTTTTGGATTCTGCTCTTTCACGTTTAATATGAAGCCGCTTTCAGCAGCCTCTCTCTTATCAGCAAGCTCTTTTGTCACTTGCAGCAGCAGTGGTTGGGGTATTGTGTTTGAGAGAAATGTGGAGTCGGCTGGTTTAGACTTTAGCTCTGGACACACTCCTGAGATATCTTTTGTATTTTCATTGCTTCAGTTTTTCTGCTCTTGTTCCTCCACAGGTTTATCTGCTTGATCTGTGTAACAACATCTTTGCAGTGCAGTTTTAGTATGCCTCTGGCAAGCAGTTGTGCTTTTTGTACCTCTCTACATCTTCGATCTCTGCTCCCTCTTTCATTCGGTTTTGTTTCCTGTGGTTTAATGGGTCAGAGGCGTTGGTCATTGTATGGAAAGTTGGTATGGTAGGGTGTTGATGAGAGAGAGCCATCTGAACTGAATGAGCTACAGAGGTGCTGCTCAACTGCAGTGTGCGCTGCACTCACTCAAAACTATGCAGGGGTTATTACGAGAAAATACAGCATGTTATAATGACAGAATAGCCTACAGTATATTGTTAAAACAAGAAAATACAGTATGTCGTAATAATGTGAACATGTTTTAATGTGAAAATCTCATATATAGAAAAGTATCTTGTTATAATGAGAGGAGTTTCTTGTTGAAACAAGATTGCACAAGAACTGCCTTTGGCAGTATCAAACTATGAAGTATAATCCTGCAGGCCCCACTGATATTCACTATAGATACAGCGGGTAAAAGAAGTATTGAACACATCACTTTCTTTTTTTTTTTTAGTAAATATATTTCTAAAGGTGCTGTTGACATGAAATTTTCACCAGATGTCAATAACAACCCAAGTAATCCATACATACAAAAAAACACAACAAATAAATTCAGAAATTAAGTTATGCGTAATAAAATGGAATGACACTGAAAAAGTATTGAACACGCTTACTCAAATTTATTTGAAACTTCATAGAAGGCAGCACGGTGGTTAGCACTGTTACCTCACAGCGAGATGGTTCTGGGTTCGACCCCCGGCTGACCCGGGGCCTTTCTGTGCGGAGTTTGCATGTTCTCCCTGTGCTTGCGAGTTCTTTCCGGGTGTTCCGGCTTCCTCCCACAGTCCAAAGACATGCATCATAGGTTGATTGGCGTCTCTAAATTGCCTATAGGAGTGATTGTGTGTGTGTGAGTGGTTGTTGGTCTGCGTGTTAACCCTGTGATGGACTGACGACCTGTCCAGGGTGTACTCCGCCTCTCGCCCGCAGCCGGCTGGGATTGGCTCCAGCCCCCTGTGCCCCAGTTTGGGACTAAGTGGTATAGAAAATGGATGGATGGACTTCATACCAAAGCTTTTGTTGGTAACGACAACTTCAAGACACCTCCTGTATGGAGATACTAGTAGCATGCATTGCTCAGGTGTGATTTTGGCCCATTCTTCCACACAGTCAGTCTTCAAATCTTGAAGGTTCCGTGGGCCTCTTCTATGAACTCTGATCTTTAGTTCTTTCCATAGATTTTCTATTGGATTCAAGTCAGGTGATTGGCTGGGCCATTCTCGCAGCTTTATTGTGTTTTTCTGAAAACAGTTGAGTTTCCTTGGCTGTGTTTGGGATCATTGTCTTGCTGAAATGTCCACCCTTGTTTCATCTTCATCATCCTGGTAGATGGCAGATTTTTGTCAAGAATGTCTTGGTACATTTGTCCATTCATTCTTCCTTCAATTATATGAAGTTTGCCAGTGCCATATGCTGAAAAACAGCCCCACATCATGATGTTCCCACCTCCATACTTCACTGTTGGTATGGTGTTTTTGGGGTGATGTGCAGTACGATATGACCTCCAAACATGGTGTGTATTATGGCATCCAAAAAGTTCAATTTTGGTCTCATCTGACCAGACTGTACTTCACAGGCTTGTCAATGTTGTGCAGCAAACTTAAACGAGCTTCAACATGCTTTTTCTTTAGCAATGGAGTCTTGCGTAGTGAGCATGCACACAGGCCATGGCGGTTGAGTGCATTACTTGTTTTCTTTGAAACAACTGTACCTGCTAATTCTAGGTCTTTCTGAAACTCTCCACAAGTGGTCCTTGGCTCTTGGACAACTCTTCTGATGATTCTTTTCACTCCTGTGTCAGAAATCTTGCAGGGAGCACCTGGTCGTGCCCAGTTTATGGTGAAATGATGTTCTTTCCAGTTCTGGATTATGGCCCCAACAGGGCTCACTGGAACATTCAGAAGTTTAGAAATTTTTCTGTAACCAATGCCATCAGTATGTTTTGCAACAATAGGGTTGCGTAGGTCTTGAGAGAGCTCTTAGCTTGTACCCATCATGAGATGTTTCTTGTGTGACACCTTGGTAATGAGACACCTTTTTATAGGCCATCAGTTGGGACTGAACCAGCTGATATTAATTTCCACTGACAAGGGGCAGGATTGCTTTCTAATTACTGATAGATTTCAGCTGGTGTCTTGGCTTTCCATGCCTTTTTGCACCAACCTTTCTTCATGTGTTCAATACTTTTTCCCTGTGTCATTCCATTTTATTACACATAACTTAATTTCTGAACTTATTTGTTTTGCTTTCTTTGTATGTATGGTTTACTTGGGTTGTTACCAACATCTGATGAAAATTTCATGTCAACAGCAACTTTAGAAATATATTTAGTGAGAAAAATGGTGATGTTTTCAATACTTATTTTACCTGCTGTAACTCCTGTTTTTCTGCACAACTGAGCTGTTGCACACTGATTCACACTTTACACAGTGAAACCAATAGGAACAAAACGGCTGTGATCAAGATGGGCACAGCACTGCTAATGGGAATTAATTTTAAGATGAACATTTGAGTGCAAAGCAGGCATCACGCTTTAATTTTGATGTGCCATGCCATTAAAAAAAAGTATTTGAGTTGTTTATTTCACACAGTGTTAGCATGATATAACCTCAAAGAAGGCTTGGAACAAGCTTATGTGCAATAGCCTACACAATATGATGCTGGAGAAATGATTCTTTGCTGTAATTTAGCTTGTA